TGGCAGTTCCCAGCAGCAGGTCTTTTGTTCCGAGTATGGTCTTTTGTTTAACACGGACCAGCTCTTTTGTCCCATTTCAGGCACCCCGGCTCTGCATATAAACCCATGGTGCTCGAAACGGGGCTCCCCGCCAGCAAGTGGTTAATACTCGTAATTGAAAAGAATATATATACGGTAATATCATTCTGGATGCTAAGAGCCTACCTGTGTGGCTGTAGTGTTCTGTTGGGGATGCACCGCGTTCAATCATGTTGAGAGCACGTGATGTACCCTTGGCACATGTACATGTGTACGTATACACTGCTGCAATATACATGCAGAATGTAAACATACTACACATCCATGTTTGAGTTACATGTGTTGTGGAACATCTTTGCTTGTATTATCAACTCCAAGTGCAGGAGTAATGGGTTTTGAGAAATATTGTACTCAGTACAGTATTTTTATTTCTCCAGTATTCTGGAATATGTACATACATTGTATACAGTGGTATATTACGCAGTACATTTTGATCGATGTATTCATCGTTATATTTGATACCCTGGTATTTGACTGAAATGAAGACAAGATTCAATTCTTGGCAAAATTCTTCTAATTTCAACGGTACTTTTGAAAATTGTGAAAAATTTGCTTTCTGCATCATTCGACATTCAAAAAGTACATGTATGACCGCTGTCACTGGGCAGTGCGTGGGATTACCTCTTGAGATCTTTTCCCATTAACCACCCTGTTGTGTACGTAGATGAACAAAAGATTTATATTCCTGTAGCTGTCCTTGTAAACACTGAGCCACATACATGTACACGTAGTCCATAAGACTGTCTGACTGGCCCCACTCCGTAGGTGGGGGCCTCCCATTGTTTCTCAATATTTCATGCAGCCAGTTACTGCATTTGACATGGCGGCATACGTGATTAAGTGAAAGAGGTACCTATGAAGTACTGTACATGTACGTAGGCGTAATGTACGTGTATGTTCATTTACAGAGTTCATGTACATCATTGAAATCCTATGGTTTTTCGTGCATTAACCTTTCCCCCAAGGATGCATGAACACCGTGAAGGATTACGCTAAAAATTGGCGGATTCGGGACTGTATGATCAAATTGCAAGCTGATGGGCTGGAGTCAATTTGAATAATTCACTATTCAAAATTCAACCTTCAATTTGATTGAATATCCGAATATTCGGTCATACCGACCAGCAGATTGTTAATGAACAAACCATATGCAAAATCAGTTGCAATCACACACAATTGTAATCTTTTTGATAGCTTCTCATGTCTGGGAGTATCTCCAGCCATGATTTTAAGAGAAAAACAATACTTTTTGCCCTGTTCAAAATTTCTATTCCTTTTACATTTTTTCATGAATAATTTACTTTCTGAATCGTTGTAAGAATTTTGTTGCTCTTCACTTGCATCTGCGTGAAACAAGCCTCCGTAGTGCAAGTTTTTTCATTTAAAACAAAAGAAAATTCACCGTTTTCATGAATTTTGCAGTCGAATATGCAAATTCTGAAAACTACAGTATATTCAAATATTTGATAATTGATCAAATATTTGGCACAGCCCTGTAAGCTGAGTTTTATTTCAATCATGCCAGACACTGTGTCCTAATTTGCATCAAGTGTGGGCTAGGTTTCAAGCATGACCACTAGAAGGAAATGGGTCAACCCATGAGGTTTGGGCACAATTTGTGATGGTGTCTTTGTTACATCCAAAACTTTTACCACCTGTCATGACCTGTAGAGTCGGTCATTTACTCTGTAAAAACACACACCTCTGTATTCAGCCTTGCAAGATGTATAATTTGGAATCCACACGCAGGGAAATAACCGTTCACTTTTATGGAACCCACGTAACAATGGACACTGCCAAAATTGTTCCCCAACCTCATGGAATGACCCATGTAGAGGGGGAACAGCAGACCAGAATTGGTACTGTAATGGTATACATGTACACTGTACTGGTAGGTTGATAACTTTGTGTAGCTGATGGTGGCAAGATGATCTCATTTAAGAAGATAAATTCATCAGAAAATTGTCTCAATTAAGGACAAATGGCATCAGTGCTCAAAAAGTGCACATCTATTACAGGTACATGTGCATGTTTGTAGGCTAGACTCCAGCATACAGGCACCGGTACTTGTGTGCTCTTCAGGAAAATTGGATATCCCTCTCAATGCCGGACATTTGAAATCCCCCCCTCTCATTTTTACTTTTCGTATGCATTGCTCATGCATTTTATAGTAGAAATGATACAAAGTTCCTGTATACATGTATATTCATAAATGTTCGTGATGCACATTTTAAAATTTTCCGGCTACATTGTGAAAGGCCCAAAAAAGACTTCATTAAATATTGTGGTCCTGTTTACTGAAATATGACCCACTTTGTGGAAATAAGTCATAAGGCATTTTTTTTTCTATTCCAATAATTTAAACTTAGTTTGTGTACAAAAGAGCAATTTCACCTTTTTTTGTGTTGGCATCCTGGTGAAAATAGACGCAGGGAGTTGATCACTGAAAATATTCCTATTACTCATTGACATTTTTACAAGATTCTTTTGAAGGCCTTTATCTCAAGATTGTCTCGGGGGACTTGTGCCTCATTGTCACAAATAATAAAAGAAAAATTGAGGGAAAAACATGGATAGCCTCCTTCTCAGCCACTCCAAAACTCCCCTCCCCCCCAGCTTTTGTAAGCACTACAGGCCGGCAATTTTATTGATGAAAGTGAGCACATTCATGTGTCCAAAATGTGCAGCACTGTTGGCTGGGGGAAAGAAAAAGACAGAGGGATAATTGAATGGGTTTGTGGGAGGGTAAGTAGAGTTGTTGTTGCTCTGCTTACTAGATCATATTGATTCAAAGTGCCGGGATCCGGAAAGCCGGGAGATCTCGTCTTAAGTTGGCAAGCCTCACAAATTGAGGTGCCGTGACGTCACGGCGGGCATTGACATCCCAAGGGTGTTTGCCTTTGAACACTGTCGGCGCTCGGTGAATGACGGCGATAGGCTCGGTGCCTTGGCATGTTGTCGTCATGTGGCAGAGCGCTCAGTTAAACCAATCACTTCTGGCCTGTTTGTAATGTATGGTGCGGATTTGTGGTGTTTGTTTTTGGTGACAGAAGGTTGTGCGTGCACTCACCAGGTGTTCAAATAGATCAAAATACCAATTGCTGAACTTTAGTAGGTACATGTAATAGAATATTTTTTTTTTAGTGAAAAATGTTTTTGGTGGTCAATGGTGTGTATTGCACATTGAATTCAAAAAGGATATACATGCATATATCCTGTTATTCAAGATTTTGATAGCCAGGCTTTGTATGTACACAGATATAAATTCCACTAAGAGAATTATTTCATTTAATGTACATCTACATTCTATTTGAGTTCAACATGTCACACACATATACGGGCTTCCACACCAATGGTGCCTCATTGGTCAAATGTGTGTGCTTTCTTATGGTGCTCAGTGAACCGTGGGCCCCCACTGGCTCCATAGAAAAGTGCACAGGTGAACAAATAGTGGCATCAGTAGTACAGAGGACTGTAACAATTCTGGTTTGTAACAAAATCGAATAAAATGGAATAATGGTGACATTTCAGATTTTCGGGAAGACTATTGGATAGATACCGGTACACTGTACTCTGTTTGGCTTGAATAACAACACGGAAGCATTCAATTGAAATCGGTCAGTGGGCACAGTGTATGGTTTACACTAGCGGTGTTTTTATCAACATCTTTGATACATGTACATGATTGCATCTGTCATCCCTTTCTGAATTTGCACTTAGGCAGCAACCGTGGTACACTGGCCAAGCAGTGGGTGGCTGGTGTGATTACAGATGCAATTAAAAGGGATTAATGCACTAGCAGGAATGACCAAATTTGCACAGAAGATTTACGATGATTGAGTGTCTGACCTTTAGGTTTAGTTCTGTGTCTTAATGTGAATATTATAAGTGCTGTCTGTGCCCAGAATGTTGAAAAAAAGCTGGATGATGGATGGAGCATGTAAATTGCAGTTAACTCTTTGTAGATGTAACACTACTTGAAGGGCTTGGATGAGGGGGACTGATCAGTCCACTTTCGCTGAACTGTGTTTCAAGTATTTGTAGTGGAATGAAAAGGAGTGATAAGTCACAGGCGCTGGAGTGGTTGTATGTTTGGGATTAGTCTGAGACAGTGTGTACTGTGAAAACTTGTGCATGTTCCAGTTAGCTCCCAATCACTGCCTTTTTTTGTAAATTTAAATTTGTCCATTTTTGTTGATTTGAGAACCTTTTCATGCAGGTTTTAAGTAATATTATGATTTACATTTCTAATTTGCCGTGCAGATGCATGTAATAGATTTACGCATGCACATGTACATTTTCCAGTGTGATTGGGAGCTACCAGTAGGTGGGGAGGAACGGTTTGAAACTCCACAGAAAAGTGTACATGTGCAGTTCAGTGTCACGTCATCAGTACTCAGGCCTGTTGATGTCTTGATACTGTTCATGTACATGTACAGACTGCTAGATGTACATGTACATGTACATGTATGGTACCGGTACATGTACTGTAAATGGACATGGACATGTGGTCCATCATTTTACAGTTAGCCTTTGAAAAAGATTTTTTCACACACATGTTCGGGTGAGAAATACAAGGCCTTTTAAAAGTCTAAATGCATTGCACATGTTGATTTATGCACATGTGGAGAGATGGCATTCAATCTGATTTCCCTAGGAAGCATTGATGTTTTCATTTGTCATGGATGTTCAACCGTGGTTCAATATGCTTCAGTAGCCTCCTTCCCCTTTCCTCCCTCGTCGACATCTTGATCATGATGTTATCACGCCGCCAGGTCAGACCTTTACCGTTCGGGTTAACCCCCAACAGAGAAAGGCTAATTCACGTCTCAGTCTTCCCTTCTCCAACCCCTCAATTTACACTTACGTCTGTCTTTTTTCTTTTTTCTTGTTTTTTTTTCCTTCTCCCCGGCCTTCTTTAGATCTGGGACACAGCTGGCCAGGAGAGATTTCGCAGCGTCACGCATGCATACTACCGGGACGCACATGCCCTTCTGCTGCTCTTTGATGTGACAAACAGACAATCTTTTGAGAATATCAGGGTGAGTGGCACCTGAGAAGAGGGCCGTCAGTTTGGTTGTTCTATTTTTTATTTCCTTTCATGCTCTGCGCAAATCTTACTAGGAAAGTGCATTTGTTCGTGTACATTGTTTTTTGTTCAAGTGCACCAAACGTTGTAGATTTCTTGTACCAGTGTTTTGTGTCTAAACTGAGCTGTTGATTTACCAATTTCTCAAGTTCATCCTGTAGCTAGCCAGGATTAAAAAATTTTTAAATGTCAGATCAAAATTAAAATCTGAACATTTTTGTTACAAAAGAACAACCCTGAAACGTGTACAGTGTACATGTAGATGTACCATACTGTTGTCAGTTTCAAAGAGGACACCAGCATCTGTGATAGGTTGATGACAGAGAGCTTGAATTTCAATTAGGAATAGTCTTCGTTATGTGTCTTGGGTAACACTAAAGATTACAATTAAAAAACAATTCGCCATACAGACTCCAGACTAGCATGATTGATTTGTCTGCCCAGCATAAATTTTACAAGTACGTGCGTGTACATCGTACAACACATGAATGTTATAATGCATTACCTTCAGGTGTAGTGGTGTACACGTCTTGTTGCGTCTATTCATTTTTTACAGTATGTGTATATGGGTCATTCCATGAGGTTGGGGCATGTACATGTACTGGGTACATCTTGGGTTGAAAATTGCAAGAGTTTTTCGGAATGTTGTTCCGAATAATGAAGTAATGATCTGGAAAGTTGTCAAGGTGAGGGCAAAAATCTGTCAACTGAAAGGCAACATATACATGTACATGTACAGCTCATATTTTGTATTTATGTAGATTTTTTTCGATTAATACATGTATATTGTGTGGATTAATTATTTCTGCTGGACAGGGTCTTCATTTGAAGTAGAGATTTTAATTTGTCTGACAACCCAAGCATAGCGATTCCACACTGTGCCTGGCCATGCTACACGATTGAACAACTACATGCATGGGTTTGTGCGCTGTCTGGATGCTTGCAATGTCTTGGTCTCTAAGCCTCCACGTACGGAGCATTATGGTGCATTCTGCATTAATTAGTGGACGTGAATGGAGATTGTTTGACAAGCTGCTCTGACATCCATTAACAGTAACACGATGGTGGTTGAATTGTTTGAGATTGTGACGTTTTGAAGTCAGACCTGAATCAACTGTCTTCATTGGGAAGCAATTTTGGATTGTGTTCCTTGAATCTTATTTGATGTAATATGTTAAATAGGGCAGTGACAGTAGGCACCATACCGGTACCTCACTTTTGTCAAATGTTGCTCAAAACAATTTGATATTTATTATGACTTGTTAATTCTTCATCAGCATTAATGACATTATTTTGTAATCAATTTTTAATTCAGTGGTTTCATTTTTCTTCTCAGGTGCCAAAGTAAAACAGTAAACCTCACTTTCAATTCAATATGGCCAACCTATGAGGCCAACAGAGCATTTCTTGTGCTACTTGATCTTCATGAAGATTGGGTGACCGGCCAATTTCCTAAAAGTGTCCATATTCACGTTAATGTCCCCCCAATAAACAAAATTCAACACCCTTTTGGTGCATGGTCATTACACTTCATGATGTACAGTGTACATCGATACACAGTACTTCTGGGTAGGAAAACTTGTATGGCCTATGCAGCAAGGATGTTGCTAATCACTCATTGACCCACTTGTTAGCACATCCAGGCGCATTGGGTGTTTTGTCAATTTCAGTTATGCTTCCATGATATGTACATGTACCGGTATGGGTATGTCTGTGCTCTTTAAAAAAAAATGAGACCTGAGAGCCAGAGTTGATTCAGTGTCTGTTAAAAATTGCAAAAAAACAAGCAGACTGTATGTTGTCATCTCAGTGAATTATACATTCCAGAATTTTTGTCACAACAAATCAAAAGAGGTACATGTACATGTACTTTCTCCTAAAATGTGAAAAGAGACAGCAGCACTGGCAAAAGACGTGCCAAATATTGAGTGAAAATGATGTTCATTGAAAAGTTTGTCTGCTCCTTTGTACTTGGTCTCTGTCGGAGGACATAATCATTTCTGGTCCTGCAGTGGTTTTTTTTGGGGGGGGAGAGCACCTTAAATATGTTCCTGGTTATTCCTTTAATATCACCAACATGCTTCAGTTAGAGTTGTGAAAACACACACCTGGAGTGAGTGGAATGGGAGCATATGAAACAGGAAGACCTCTGGAAGTAGGAAAGGTCGTGATTGAGAGGTTTTATTAATGTACAGCTTGTGAATGTGGAAGCGCGGGTAGTGGAAGCCATTGGATTTTGGCTGCAGTTATTTTTTGTACAGTGCGTACATGTACAGGTGTCTCGGTGCATGTACATTGTACGTGCATGTCTGGTTACCCTAAGTCACAGGCAGTTGGTTAAGACACTGCCTCATAATTAAATTCCCCTGTGGTCGGTGACCTGGTTTCTCATCCTGTAAGGATGGACAAAAGGGAACGGGAATCAAAGCAGAGCATGTTAGGTGCCCGAAGGGAGGGAAAGAATGAAGACAAAAGTTTGATCAATCTGATGGTTGAGCCTGTGCGTTGGAGACCAAAAGCTGACAGGACGTAATGCCGATGACATTAATGGTCAGTTCCATTCTGTAGAAATCAGGCACTGCATGCTGTTTTTCCCACCGCTGAAACTGTGGGGGAGGATTGTGAAGCTGAAGGCAAGACAGTGCACCTGCGGTTAGAGCTCGTTAGGTTGATGAAAGTTGGTTTGACCGATGATGTTTTGAGTTAGCTTTGCAAGTGTTGTCTTGGAAGGACTTGTAGCCTGATGAAGAAAAGTGTCTAAAATGTCAATGACTTCAACGTCGCTGGGGGAAGGGGGTTGAGAGGTGGTAAGGGAGACATTTGGCCCCACCAAAAATTTAAACATAAGAAATAGTTTTAAAAAGGGAGGAGAAAAAAGCAATAAAAATTTTAAAAATACATGAAAATCTCCAAGTTGCTTGAAAAACAAAAGCCCTCAAAATTGACCCCTCCTATTGCTTAGCTGATGAGTGTGCTTTGCTATTCCCTTCTTCTCCCTGTCTCTGGAAATTTCCCTCCCCTGGGAAAGTGTGCTTTGCTGCCCCCCCCCCAAAAAATCCTGCCAACGCCCATGGGAGATAAGCTGTGTGTAAGGTACACTTACATGGACAGATCATTACTGTGAGATGGTGGTACATTGCATGTGTATGGTAGTCTTTGCAACAGCAGTCTTGTCTCCAGACACGTTTTGTGCACTCTTCATCTGTGTCCTCTTGTGGAGCAGTGTTTCCCCTGCCTATTCTATTGTGATGCGGCCCACCTCACTGATTTTAGCGACCAGGCTTCAGGCTTCTCTGTTGAATTTTACCACCTCACACTTACAGTAGACAAAGATGGAAGGAAAAAGCAACAAAAGTCAGATAATTTGAAATAAAATCGGTTTTAAATCATTCAGAATGATAAGGAAGGACATTGAATACAAGATGGATTTATTTTAGATGAAAAATTTGGATTACATGTAAATGTATCATATCAAATTTATTTTAGGCTTTTTTAAAAACACTCGCTTATGTTTTAGGCTCTAACTTTTTGGCAAAACTTGTTGAAGCACCTCACACCTACCAGTACCCCAGGGGGGACCCTGCTGCAGATTTCATGGAGCTGGTCAAATTGGTGTAGGTAAAGCACCAGAAAGTGAAGGTAAACACAACACATCTCAGACTGTGTCACGCGCTTTAGTTTACAGTCCCCAAGAAAAGCCAAAGATGAGTACATACCAGCACATGTATGTCCTGTAAGGATAAAAATGTACATGTACAGCATAGCAGTATGTAAACTTGAATAGTTTTGAAACAAGCATCATTGGGGACTCGTACATTGTACATGTATACTAAGAACAAAACAGCCGCAGATGTACATGTATATATCTGTCTTATCAACTAAATAATATTGTATTTGCAGCAGCAATTGCAGATCTGGTTTACCATTGATTCAGATACTGGAAACCCCAAGCACAGTCACTGACTCAAAATCTCATCACACGAAAGCTGGGAATCGCATTCCCCACCTCATAAACATGTACTTTGCCAATCCATCGCACAACGTTCACTTGCACTTGAGAGTCGTACAGTGATGGGGCTTATGGTGGTGATCTGAGAAGTGAAGTCATTCAGCGTTGCTTTCAGGCTGTTTTCTCCACAGTGTTGCTGCAGTCCTTTGTTGTCTCTACAAACTGTTCAGTCTCACAAGTTTTTTTTACCCCGTTAGGAAGAATACGTAGATGGGGAAGTAAACTTGCTGTGCTTAGGTTAGACCTGCATATCAGTGGTCAGTGGTGCTGAGCTCACTTTGAACTACAAAACTCTCCAGTAAAAAAAGTCGCGTCTTCAAAATTAATTGGAAGAAAATGCTTTGTGTGCATTGCTTATAAAATTGATTAGATGAAATGTTTCATTTCTGTGGGTGTGTGGACTTTAGCCTTGGTCTTCGACCAGCATACCCTTTAAAGCATTTCAACATGTGCATGTTTGTAAATGGCCTGTCAGGGGGTGAGGGCTGATGTACCGGAATCTAGTGACCCATTTCATTGGCCCAAAAATGCTTCTGTTACCCATGAAACTGTTTCTGACACCAACTTACCGTTTTTTCTACATTCATATGTAGGGCTGTGCCACATATCTGAATATTTGATCAGTTATCAAATATTTGAATATTACATGTTTATTTTGAATTTGAATATTCGAATGCAACATGCAGTAAAAGAAAGGTAGAATTATTTTTTGTTTTAAATGAGAAAAATTGCACCATGGAAGCTTGTTCAAAGCAGATTCAGATGAAAAGTGACAGAAATCTTAACGATTCAAAAAGTAAATTTGTCATGAAAAAAATTAAAAGAACTAGAAATTTTCAACGGGACAAGAAGTATTGTTCGTCTCCAAATCTTGCTAAATCGTGACTGGAGATACTCATAGACGTGACAAGCTATTATAGTGATTATAATATATATAGACAATT